CATGTTACTTTCGGGGAAAATTTAGCAAAAAATTTGACAATTCCACGCATGAAAATATATATTTTACTTTTAAAAAAATAGAGATTGTGATATTCTTACTGTGATGCAAAAAAATTTCATGATATGTATGTAAAAAGAAAGCTAAGACGTTTGATATGTAAATACATAAGAATTATGTGGTATGAGTGTAACGGATTATCGTCTTAGCGTGTACGAAAGTTCAGCTTACACAAATGAAAAAAAACAAGCGGTGATGATTTCAGAAGTTTTGACATGAATGCAAGATAAAGTTTATTATGGCTAAATAAAATAAAATGATGATGATGAATGGAACATGTAAATGTCCTCAAATTCATAACTAAGACTTAATAGAATAAAAAAATTAACTATTACTTGTCTATAAATATTATGTCAAAATTAAAAATAAATAAAATGATGATTAGAAAATAACATGCAGAAAAATCTGAAAAAGTCTTAAGTTATAATTATTTTATTTTCTTACCCTGAAATAAATAATATTAAATTTATAATTATTATAATATATTCCAATTTCAGTAGTTTTCAAAGATTCTCGTGGCAGCTGAGTTGAATACTTGTCAGTTCTTGACTCTATAAATAAAGAAAAAGAAAAGGGTGGGTTTGCTTATCCAGAAAAGTATGAGGTTTGAAGTTAATGTCTTTCATCAAATTCTTCGCTTATATTTTGAGACACCGTTAAGTTAGCTTTCACAAATTTCAGAGCCGGTAATGATCTGGCTTACCACATGGCCGGCTCATCTAGCTGCACGTGCCTGTGGCAAACATAATAATAGATGCTAGTTAGCTTAGGGTTTAAATGCCTGCCCGAAGATTTATAGCAATAGAGTAGCAAGTTAATATTATACAAAAGTTCAGCACACATTCATGTGATTTGTTACACTACAAGTTCTTATGTGAAAATCTAGAAAAAGAAAAAGTCATTGGAATTGGTCTAGCTGAAGTAATCTGCTATGTAATTTGTTACAGCAACTTTTGGAGGTGTCGTTGCACCGCATGTGGGGAGCGTCATTGTAATGTATGTGGGGTGAATTGTTACATATTATGTGGGACGTGTCGTTACATCATATGCGGGGTGCATTGGTATGTTGTCTTTGAAATGTGTTGTCAAAACCTGCACACCGTGTTGTTACACTATCTTCGGAGTTGTTTCAATGCACCGTATGCAGAATGTTTTGCTACATCATCTTCAATATGTTGTTATATTGTCTTTAGGGTGCGTCTTTACATCGTTGTTTATGTTGGAATTTCATAATGTATGTCATGTTTCACAAGGGGTTTCGTTGCAACAAGCAGTGACGATTAACTGTGTTTGGTGGTGTCCGGTGAGTGGTAGTCGACGGTGGTCGACAATTGCAAAGCGGGTTGCGTTTATTGGACCTTCGATATGAAACACTGGACCTCAGCTCCTCCTCCAAGTCCCGGGCTACCTCAGGTTTAATGTCTGTGTTACCTTTCTCCATCAGACAATAAGAAGAGATTCCCTCGATCAAAACATTTTTTGTAGATATTTGAGTACCTTAATGATATCATAATTGAGTGATCTTGGGCTCGTTGGATTCGTTGTGTCGAGATGCTTGATTTGACTATAAGTTTGTCATATTTGGAATTCATTTGAACTTCTAGTTGGGAAACAAAGACTTCCAAAAAAAAATTTTAATGGTTCGACCTACGCTTGATTTGACTCACACTGGACCAATTTTGGTGTCATTGTGTTACTCTCATTCAGTCTGTCAGTTGGATTATAAATTTGCTGAAATTGGAGTTCTAAATGACTTTTAATTAGAGTTTGGATGTTTCTTACTGAAAAATACACCGAGATCCATGTTGATACCTCGAGATTCAGGTCAAATGACTACTTTTGTTTATGACTTATTAAGTTTTTTTCATGAAATTTAATTTTAAGTAAACAATTTTTTTAGTGTTTTTAAATTATTTTTTATTAAAAAGTTTAAAAAATACTTAAAATATTATTTTTTAAAACTATTTTTAAGCAACCACCTACATTATTGGTCAACATTAGTATCGATCGTCATCTCCACCATCCTACCAACATAAGACAAGATCAAACATGATCTGAGTTGTTGGAGTATAGTATATAAGGAGAATGGAAAATAGAATCTATTAAAACTGAAGTAAATAGGGTTTAATACAGTAAAAAACTAAGGGGGTGTTTGGCAGTCGAATTTAAGCAAGATTTACGTATTATTTAACATAAATCTAGCCTAATCTAAAAAATTATATCCACTATTAGTTAAATCTAATTTGCTTTGACTTTCGTTACTTGCATAAACTTGGATTTATTAAATCTAATTATCACGTGCATTTAATAGATTTAGCTTAGAAAGAAAGTTATTCGAGTGAATTTATGCCAAACACAGTAAACGACTTTAATGGATTTAGCCTTAAATTGAACCAAACACTATTATGAATTTAAAGCATTTGGAATTGATAAATCCATATTTACCATATTTTCTAAATCCTTTTCAACTAAAATCCAAATTGTAGCCAATCCCCCCTTAAACAATAGAATTATATTTTGCTGTGAAAAATAATTACAACACTCTCAATTCTATTACAGTTCATCTATTTAAATGCTTATGAGTATAATAGATGTATGATGCATATGAATTGCAGTTGATATGATAGTGCGGATTCAATTTCAACGTGTGACAATAACGATAAATGTCAGAGAAGGGTCTTTGTTGTTATATGTTATTATCAGACATCTATATCTTGCTAGGGAATGCTAATGATGTCATCTCCTCAATGACCACCAATGTCAATTGTTACTACTTCCACCGTCATCATCATATAAATCAACTTATTTGATATTTAATAAAAAATAAAAATAGTTTAAGATACTAAACTCATATTTATTTATAACAAAATTGTAAAGCCAAAGCCAATGGATAGGCTTCAGGTCATGACGTGAGGCAACCAAGAACCTAACAAGATAGTTTAATCAAAATTCCCCTCCAGACAGCCAATCTAAATTGCTCAATCATTACTAATCGATCATCACAACTTAGTCAACTCGCTCAGAAAACCAACCAGACCAAATTACATGCTCTAACTAGACTGTATCCTTAGACAACTCATGGCTATCAACTAGATACCAAGTGTCACAACGATAAGACTGTAAGTCGGTTATGATGTGGAATGGCTACAAATGCAAAAATAAAATTTAACCAAACAACCTAATTTGATAGTGATTTCTTTAGTTATATAGAGTTAATGAACTATGAATTCTACTATTTAACTCTCCATTTTTAAATAAAAATAAAACTCTAAAATATAAAATTAAAATGTTATTAAATTAATCTTTTTACTATTCCCAATCCATTCAACGAGGTTGTCATCTTTCAACGGTCCGCAATGGCTTCCATCATGTAGATTACAGTTTTATCCTCAAATGGTATAATTGTTTTAATTATTTATAAACTTAAAAAGGAAAAAGAGAGTAGAGAGTAGAGAGTAGCAACAGGCTTTTGAAAGAAGGGAGAGGTCAGGGGTAGTCATGCAATAATACAAAGTTTAGGTCAAAAGCCTATACATAGAATTGTTGACTTAAAAAAATAATAAATATAAGCCCCATTTAACAGCTAAATTTTACATATCCAATTATAATATTTAAATAAATTATAATCAAACAACAGTATATACTCTAAAATGCAGGCACCAAACCCACTCATATTTATGGTTCTTTAATACAATTTAAGTCAAAATACCTTGATTCAAATTTAATTATTATAATTTGAGTATTAAATTTTCTTTGAGAAACTCATAACAATATGCTCTCACTTAGGGTCCGTTTGGGGCAGCTTGTGTGTTTCACGATAAGTTGTTTATCTTGAAACGCGGCCCGCAGTTTGGCCCGCGACCTGCGTTTAGTGTAAAGTGTATGCGTTTAGTGTAAAATCTCAAACGCAGTTTCGGATAAGCTGATGAAACGCGCGAACCAAACAGTACGGCGGCGTTTTCCGCACTTATAAACTGCCCCAAACGGACCCTTATTTGAAGAGCGATTATTTAACGAGGACACCAAACATAAATTTATTTAAAATAATCCTCCACTATTTAAATGGAATTATTTTTTCGTTAAAGATTATCAAAACTCAATTTTATAATAATTAATGATTATTTTGATATTTATATAAATTCTGAGATTAAACTACATTTCATTTAAATTATTGCCCCTCATTTAAAATTTTAATTTTGCATTGATATTTGATTATAAACCCGTACGCTCTTGTTATCAAAATTAGTTGGAAGATGTACGACTACCACCCACCCAACTACTCACCAACTTTAGAGGCGCATGAAGCATTCATTTGCATAGGTAAGAGGAGGCGGGGAGCTCTTCAAATTAAAAATTGAAATTCCAAATATATTTAAATCAGTAATTTTTAATTAATTCTCATTAAGGCTCTCTTTGGGCAGCTCCAACATATTAAATAATATGCTGATAAATTAATAAAAAATAATCTGCAGATAATCTAAGTGCGATGATTATTAGAAATTTTTATTCTTTTTTAAAAAGTCAGACTATCGCCAGAAAATTGTCACCGCATCTAGATAGATGCAACGCTCCTTTCAGCGTTTTCAAAACGCATAAGCTGTCAAAACGCAGTTTAACCAAAGAGTTTTCATGCGTTTTCAAAATGCCACCACACAAAAAAAAAAAACCCTAAAATTTCACTTTTCAAAAAACTAAAAACATTAATTTTGTTGACTAATCTTTTCTTCATAAATTAAAAAACTATAATTTATCAACTTGTATTTATTATATTAAATTGTTTCGCGGGTGGCTATCATTTATCAATATCAGTCTTGATAAGATTATTTATATATTTATTTCAAATCCGACAAATTTGCTGAATTTCTTTTCCACTACATCGCCATAGTAACAATAAAATAAAATAAAATAAAATAAAATAAAAAGGTTTAATTAATTACACCTGGTTTTCATAGAAGGAATAATCTCAAAAAGTCAATTTTACAAACCTGAGAAAAATTCGAAAAACGGACAAAAAAAAAAACCTGAATCGAGATTAATAACATTCACCCCCAAATTTAAAATAATTAAAGCTCAGTTACCACGGCAGAATAGCTTAAACAAACGCACTACCAAACACCAACCCCTCTTACCAGGTAACACCAACCACTCACCCTACCGACCGCCTGTCAATGGTGCCACGCTGATCTGAAGGCCCAGACAACATCACGTTCATGTGGCCGTCGATCTCCTCCCCCCCTCCCCATGATTCCGGCCGTCTTCCTGATGAAAACCGCCTGAAAGCCCCGAGCCCCGCCGGCGTTACTTCGGACGATCCATCCACCGGCGTCGCCGCCGACGGCCTTCCCGACCATGGAAAAGTCTTTTCTGGGAGCGTCGATGAAGCCTCATCATCCTGTTCGTACTCACGAGTTTCCGATCGGTGGCATCTGAAAATCCACATCAGCCTCGCAAAGTAACCGCCGGATCTTCGATTCCTGAGATCCTTATCAATTACTGCAGACGGCGCCGACGATGCCGGCCGGATGTGATGATTCCTCTCCCTTTCCCTGTCGGAAAGAACTTTCCCGAAACAGGATACCTGGCGATCCTGGTTCCGGCGGCGGAACCGCCGATTTCCGATCCCCGCCTGCTTTCTTCTTTTTGGGCAGGGTCGATCCTTTGGGGAGTCGGCGGGCACTGGAGCCGAGATAGCTGGAGTATCGGATCTTGTTGGGGAGTGCGATGATTGGGGCTTTGGTTTTCAGCTTGCCGGAGAAGCGCTGGGAGGTGGATGTCGGCTGCTGTTGCTGCTGCTTCTGATTTGCGTGCTGGGATTTGGGATTCGTGTTCCCCTTTGTGGAATCATCCCGCTCGTAGACCGCGTTGATGTCGGTCCAATCGATGTCTTCCCCGATCCGAATCTGAATGGAGTCAGCCGGCATATCGGGGTCTTCTTCGACCCGCTTTGGGGCCGAATCTTCGCCGCCGATCATGGTCTCGCATGCGACCTTGAAGTCGCTCCCACAGAGGAGCGTCTCAAGGTCCACCTGAGGCATTTGATGAAATTACGCAGAGAGAGAGAGAGAGAGTGTGTGTGGGGACGTTGGGGTAGGCGCGCGGTTAGAATATAAAGGCGGAGTAGGATGCAGTGTGACGGAGCTGACGGCTTTAGGAGATTAGAAGGTAGAGAACGAATGGCTCTGATTTGCAGACACGATTTCGTGAATGATTTTGCAATTGTCGCCTTTGGATTTTGGAAGTCCGAGTCGTAAAGTGAAAAAAAAAGGGTATATGAAAGTCGATGTTTTGTGACGAGTCGGATTTCACTTCGTGCAATTTAAAATTTTTACTAAGGCTTTTCTTGTAATTTTTTACTAAACCGGATAAAATCCAAGACCCCTCAATTATTATGTATTTACATAAAATATAAAGTCTAATTTTCCTTGCATGCCATATGCCTCCTTATTTATACATAATAAATTGATTTTACTGTTGAATCTTAATTTATCTTTGAATCACACTCCAACAAATATAAGATAGACAGAGAGAGAGAGGGAAGAGTGAATAATAATGCACAATAAATTGTATTGTTGGATCATAATTTGCCCTTTGTGGATCATACCCCAAGAGTTAGAGCCGAGTGAAGAAGAGAAAGAAAAGTGAGTAGAATAAACTTGAATTTTTTGTAAAGAGAATTGAGGGAGTGGTCTCTTTATTTGTATTTTTGTGTTGTACTTACAGATAAGTGTTTTGTCCAATTACAGAAAATAGAAAATGGTTATGAAAATTGTTCTTAATGTCTCCAACACTTTAATTAATTGTATAAATTTTATGACATATCTATATTACAATTTGAATTTTAACATTGGCGACGATTAACTTATTCGTTGCTGGAAGTCGGTCGATTGAAGCGAAAGGCGGTCGCATGGCGTTCTTACTCGGTGTCATTCTACACGAACGACCAGAGCAGTCAGTTATTAGGTGGTCGTTCGGTTCGGACACGGGGTTGGTCAGTCTAACGTGATCAGTCGGCTTTTTTTGTTAAGTAAGTCGTGACTCATTTTCTGTTTGGCTCAAGACTTACAGAGCTTGTGTCTTCGCCTGCCTGGTTATTTCGTCGTCTCAGTCAGATCTCCCAATCTTGTAAGGTCTTAGGCATATCTTATTGTAGTCTATGTTGGGTATCCGATGAGACTCGCTTTCGAGATAATTTACGCCTAACTTTCGGCTGGTCTTGTCGCTACTAAGTGGGAACCATCTTCAAAGCTTGAACTCATCCCGGGTTTAGAGACATGACTTCATGTTTTGCCTTGAATCGTCAGTTAATTGCTTACATCGAAATGAGGCTCTTATATTGTGGTCTTTTGTTCTTTTTGAGATTTGTGCTGGTATTTTTAGTGTATAAATGTATCAATTGTGCTAACCTTTTTCAATATTTTTGGCTAAAATAATATATTCATGGCCTCCTTCGTACAAGAAATGATCTCTCTATTTATAGGGAGAGAATATGTAATGTTATATGTTTGCCCATGTTTTAGTAAGAGTTGTTTAAAGTATTCTTGTTATTTTATAGGTACGAGCCTATCAATCGGTTGCACTTTGACTCGTTCAACTAAGCTTATATGACCTCGGATCGACAGAGCCGGTTCGAACGACTAGTCTTAGTCGGCATTGTCGGTCGGTTGAGTTCGATTGACTTTGGGTCGATAAGATTTGTTTGGTCCGCTGAGTTAATTTTGTTGTCGAGTACCCTTGATGATAGATGGGGGAACTTCTGAATATCCTCTGTACGATTGAAGATGTGGATTGCTAGATCATTTTTCGAGTCAGCTTCTTCATGTTAGTTGGCCTGTATATACCTATTTATCTCATTTCCGACTGAATAACTAGGATTCAGGACACCCGCATTTTTCATGGCTCAGTCAGCTTTTGACTTCTTTTAGCTTGGACGACTGCACTGGATCGAATAAGTAGATCTCTTAATCTTCTGTTAGTGAACCCTCATTTGTCATGCCCTCATCTTCTAAACTATCATATCTCCTTGGGATCAGCACTGACACATTTTCGATGTATATTATATTTTCAAAAATTAAAATAACGATAGTTTTATATGATATGAAAATTTTTTGTAATATAGAAGTACTACATAGATTAGATGCGTAAATAAATAGGAATGTGGTCGTACGTGTGTATGCAATATGTAAGATTCGAACCTACAACATCACAGTAGAAAACTACACCCTCAACCACAATACTGTGTATAATTACGCATATGCATAGTATGCAATCCAGACAATTAAAATGCCTCTTTTTCATTTTAAGATTCATTTAAAATTGTGATTTATTAAGTTGATTAAGCATGTTCTTAAAAATTAGTTATATTCGTTATCTTGATATCATTTCGGTGAGTTTTCATATTTTACATTATATTTTGAATAAATTTTATTTATCATGATGAGTTTAAGGATTTTAATTTGTTTTGGAATTAATATCATGTATGAATATTCAATCTTAATATATATTAGCTTTAGATGAAGGAATATTGAATGATTCAAGATTTATGCTAATTAAAATTTAGGGTTAAATTATCATGAGATGAGAATCATTTATCATTAGAATGTCTTTAAAATTCATTATTTTTTAAAAAATTATGATAAGTATTTTTTGTTTAATATTTTCTGTCTAAAGATTTTAAAATTTACAAGCATAAATAAGGCTTTTCTTGTAATTTTTTACTAAACCGGATAAAATCCAAGACCCCTCAATTATTATGTATTTACATAAAATATAAAGTCTAATTTTCCTTGCATGCCATATGCCTCCCTCCTTATCTATACATAATAAATTGATTTTACTATTGAATCTTAATTTATCTTTGAATCACACTCCAACAAATATAAGATAGACAGAGAGAGAGAGGGAAGAGTGAATAATAATGCACAATAAATTGTATTGTTGGATCATAATTTGCCCTTTGTGGATCATACCCCAAGAGTTAGAGCCGAGTGAAGAAGAGAAAGAAAAGTGAGTAGAATAAACTTGAATTTTTTGTAAAGAGAATTGAGGGAGTGGTCTCTTTATTTGTATTTTTGTGTTGTACTTACAGATAAGTGTTTTGTCCAATTACAGAAAATAGAAAATGGTTATGAAAATTGTTCTTAATGTCTCCAACACTTTAATTAATTGTATAAATTTTATGACATATCTATATTACAATTTGAATTTTAACATTGGCGACGATTAACTTGTTCGTTGCTGGAAGTCGGTCGATTGAAGCGAAAGGCGGTCGCATGGCATTCTTACTCGGTGTCATTCTACACGAACGACCAGAGCAGTCAGTTATTAGGTGGTCGTTCGGTTCGGACACGGGGTTGGTCAGTCTAACGTGATCAGTCGGCTTTTTTTGTTAAGTAAGTCGTGACTCATTTTCTGTTTGGCTCAAAACTTACAGAGCTTGTGTCTTCGCCTGCCTGGTTATTTCGTCGTCTCAGTCAGATCTCCCAATCTTGTAAGGTCTTAGGCATATCTTATTGTAGTCTATGTTGGGTATCCGATGAGACTCGCTTTCGAGATAATTTACGCCTAACTTTCGGCTGGTCTTGTCGCTACTAAGTGGGAACCATCTTCAAAGCTTGAACTCATCCCGGGTTTAGAGACATGACTTCATGTTTTGCCTTGAATCGTCAGTTAATTGCTTACATCGAAATGAGGCTCTTATATTGTGGTCTTTTGTTCTTTTTGAGATTTGTGCTGGTATTTTTAGTGTATAAATGTATCAATTGTGCTAACCTTTTTCAATATTTTTGGCTAAAATAATATATTCATGGCCTCCTTCGTACAAGAAATGATCTCTCTATTTATAGGGAGAGAATATGTAATGTTATATGTTTGCCCATGTTTTAGTAAGAGTTGTTTAAAGTATTCTTGTTATTTTATAGGTACGAGCCTATCAATCGGTTGCACTTTGACTCGTTCAACTAAGCTTATATGACCTCGGATCGACAGAGCCGGTTCGAACGACTAGTCTTAGTCGGCATTGTCGGTCGGTTGAGTTCGATTGACTTTGGGTCGATAAGATTTGTTTGGTCCGCTGAGTTAATTTTGTTGTCGAGTACCCTTGATGATAGATGGGGGAACTTCTGAATATCCTCTGTACGATTGAAGATGTGGATTGCTAGATCATTTTTCGAGTCAGCTTCTTCATGTTAGTTGGCCTGTATATACCTATTTATCTCATTTCCGACTGAATAACTAGGATTCAGGACACCCGCATTTTTCATGGCTCAGTCAGCTTTTGACTTCTTTTAGCTTGGACGACTGCACTGGATCGAATAAGTGGATCTCTTAATCTTCTGTTAACGAACCCTCATTTGTCATGCCCTCATCTTCTAAACTATCAGATCTCCTTGGGATCAACACTGGCACATTTTCGATGTATATTTACATTTTAACAATTAAAATAATGATAGTTTTATATGATATGAAAAGTTTTTGTAATATAGAAGTAGAACATAGATTAGATACGTAAATAAATAGGAATGTGGTCGTACGTATGTATGCAATATGTGAGATTCGAACCTACAACATCACAGTAAAAAACTACACCATCAATCACTATACTGTGTATAATTATGCATATGCGTAGTATGCAATCCAGACAATTAAAATGCCTCTTTTTCATTTTAAGATTCATTTAAAATTGTGATTTATTAAGTTGATTAAGCATGTTCTTAAAAATTAGTTATATTCGTTATCTTGATATCATTTCGGTGAGTTTTCATATTTTACATTATATTTTGAATAAATTTTATTTATCATGATGAGTTTAAGGATTTTAATTTGTTTTGGAATTAATATCATGTATGAATATTCAATCTAAATTTATATTAGCTTTACATGAAGGAATATTTAATGATTCAAAATTTATGCTAATTAAAATTTTGGGTTAAATTATCATGAAATGAGAATTATTTATCATTAGAATGTCTTTAAAATTCATTATTTTTTAAAATTATGATAAGTATTTTTTGTTTAATATTTTCTGTCTAAAAATTTTAAAATTTACAAGCATAAATAAGCCTAAAATCTATGTAACTATCTTCAAAAATGAATCTTTTATCATTATAAATATTTATAAATATTTTTA